AAAAGCTAAAAAGAGTCTTTTGTATTAATTTACTTGCAAGTGAGGCATTGCAGAAAATAGTTTAACCTGTGAGCTTTAACCTTTAGGAGGAAAAAATATTTTGTGAGTAAATTGCACAAATTGTATATGAAGGTTCTCATTGTCTATAAGTTAAGTACCTTGCCAAGTTAAACCGCAGTGCTTTTTTCTACCCTTTCTGTTCCTTTTCTCCTTTCATATCCATATATCTCAAAACCTTTTTCTGGTGCAGCAAGCGAAGCTCAGGAAATTTTTTTTCTAGTGAGATATAAGAATGTTGATTTCTGTATCCTGTTAGGTAATTTAAAAAAAAAAAAAAGGAGACAACAAACTCTTAATGTGGTACCTAGTGCTTTTTCCACTGCAATGTTGTAATGTTGTTATGATGACAAAGCCAGCATAAATGACAGGATTAATTCCATATGTTACAGATGGATGCATTTTTGAAAATATTTTTGTGACTACAGATACGTATGCAAGCAGTAGAGTCAAGCCATATGTTGTGATCAAAAGCTGAGCTGGTGTTAAATTAGATTTGTGAATGTAATTGCAATTTGTGGTGTAATTGCAGTTTGCAGTTGTCCATGAACAGACTTTTTCTTTGTAGTGAAAGGATGATACATTACTGTGAATATTTTAGACTTTGCACTGTAGTGCTGTAATTTTTGGTCTTACTCCATGAAACGCAATGATAAATTTTGCCTTACCTTCAGTGGGGCCAAGGTAAGACACACAGAATTTTTTTTATCTGAAAATTATTGTTTGGCTTAATGGAATGCAAGAAGAATACTCTTGTTGAAAGCTTTTAACGATTGGATGTGCTGTGTACAGTGCTATTTTAAATCTTACCAGGTAAGTAAAAAGTAAATAAACCAGTCATTCTAGCTAAAAAGCTGACATTCTTCAAGAGTTTGGCTGCCTGCTTGCTTATTCATTAATTCTGCCTTTCATTTGGAAGATACTTGAATGATGATGGATTCGCATCCTGTCTCTAACATTTTGACTTAATGTTGTTCAAGAATTCCAGATTCTCCCAATAATCATACTGATTTGACTTTGAATTAATGTAGTTGCCTAAAGATAATTTATACTCGAGCTTCGCCTGATTCTGAAGTCCCTCTGTTCTGCACTAACTCTGCCTGTCCAGCTTGGATGACATAGGCTGAATGACTGGGATTGTTTGAATTCTATGCATGGATTTTGAAACTTGCCTGTTAGTTAAAAATAAGAAAGGTTTTGTTAGTCAAAGACCTGTCTTGTATACTTCTAGTGATAGTATTTAGAAGTCTGTCTTTGGGAATCTTTTCAATTACCTGCTGATTCTTTAGGGGGAAAAAAACTATGCAGATGCTTTTCATCTTTCTGTAACAAATTTTATAACACTGGGCGTGCATATTGTGTAATTACCGTACGCTTATTCTAACAGAATAAAATACTTGAGCAAACTCTTCTTGAATTAATATGTGTATTTGTGTGAGTGCTGATGAACTTTGTCAGATTCCTGACAGACTAATGCTTGCTGGTAGTTGAGTCAAATACACCATCTTATAAATAACAATGGTTTTATAATAACCAGTGCACGTTTTAGTTTCTGACACAGAAAACACGATAGTAGTGTCAGAGAAAAATTTGTTATTTCTATTCTAGAATCAGATAGTTTTTAAAAACTCTATGTCAGGTATAAATATTATCTTTTTAAATAGGCATGAAATAGTTTTTAATATGTTCTTTCTCATACTTATCCAGCTAGGAGAAGAACAGTTGTAAAACCACAGACATTTTGAACTGTTGACACTGCTTAAATTATTTACTTGCTTGAATATTATATGTAGGTTCAAATTGAGCAAACTCACAAGGGGAAAGATGTATTAAAGCATTTCATTTTAATTCCCAGCGTCCTTTTGAATTTGTTTCATACAGGCTGCTGCAGATCCAGTGTCGTCCTCTGATGCACCAGAAGATGGTCCAAAGGAAACGTCAAGTGTATCGCAGAATATCTGTATGTTTCTGGTTTGACTGGGGAGGGTGTATGATGTTGGAAGTATATTAAGCTAAATGTCCATGCTTTTTCCTTACCTAATAAGGATGTGGCTGTTAGCTGTATCTGACTTAACGTGTTCATGATTTGTAGGAAGGCCCAGTTGTGTAAACCAAATTTGGAAAGAGCAATGACATATTGATTGCTAGTTTGCTGCTCCCATGCTTTAAAAAGAAAGTAAATGGGTTTTGGTTTAATAGATAGACTCAGCTATTGTTTTAAGCTTGGTGAGATGGATAAGTATGTTTGCTTCAGTGTTCTGGCATCTAGTGCTGTGATGTTCAGTCAGTTGTCCCAGGTGTCATACTTTGCCCATGCCAGCACGATGATGTTTTGATATGAAGGCCAAGCCTGCAGGATGTGGGAATAGAAGTATTCCAGCCAAAACTGTCTTGTGAAGCCCAGGAAGCATCAGTCCTTACCTTTTAGTGGTAAGGATCAGATAATGACAGACATTTCTTTCTCAGGAGGAGGAGAAAACAAAGGCTTGTTAGGATTTACTTTGTGTTTATTGATATACTGTTGCGATGCTAATGTACACGATCCTCATTTTGAGAAATTGAAACATTTAGATTATGCTTTCTGGCAAATAACAAGGCTCTTAACCACCTTAGGGCAGATTAGCAGGTAACAGCAACATTACTGTGATGCTGAAGTTGCTGAATAATCCCTAGGGATCACAGCTTTCAGAAATAACAGTTGTGGGAGCAAACAGAGCCTTGACTAAAGCTATGGGAAAAGCATTCAGACATAAAGAAGCAGATTAATTTTTTATGTTGCTTTTTTCTCCAGATACAGAAGTGGGTTTAATAAAGCTTTTGAGAATGTTTTCCTTTATTATGTCCTTGAATGATAACATCTGGTACTGCACTGTTATAGCTGTTTTTATACACACAAAATATTATTCAGTCCAGTTCTGAATATATGCATGTGGTGAAGGCTTGAAAAATTAATAGAAATCTTTTAAGGGTTACTGAATACATAGAAGCCACTTTGAACTGGGGAAATCTGAGCCATAAATTACTTTAAGCTAGGAGAGTATTTGGGGAAGATACCATGCAGGCTTCCCCATTTCTTATGTCTTCCTTCGATAGCCACTTTTGATGATCGTGGGAGACAGGATATTTGCTTAGATAGATTTTGGTTGATCTACTATGGCTGCTTTTATGATTGTGTGACTGAGAGTGCTACAAATGCAACAGCCCTACCTCTTCTTCCATTTACAGTCATGTTTTCTCCACTCCCTCCTTAGCATCACCATCTATTTTGGCAGCAACATGGTCTTAGATCAGACCGTACTGATTGCAACACACCATGTTCTTGGGTATCGACCATGAAGTAGTAGGTTGCTAAAATGCTAACTAAGGAGGATGTTGGAGGGAGGCTTTTGGTTTGGGTTTCATTTTTTTGTGACATAAAATCCCGTGAGATAAGTATTTGTGGGACAGATCTGGAACCAGAGCCACATAGTTAAACCAGATTTATGAAAAGAATGAATGTATGGTAGGAGGCTGTAATTTGTCTGCATCTTTGACATCCTGCCTGCAAACTGTTCACTAACCTTTTTTTTTCCCCCTGGGATTATGATTCTATTCCAGGCTTCTGGACCACTTGAGACCTCTGCTAACTTGTGCAGCAGCTTGCCAGAGAAAGAGTTGGTTGGAAACAAAACTCTGCTTTCCTACTCGATGCTTTTTTTCTAAGAGGCATTACAGATTAAAGATAACTCATTCAAAGTTACTTTATTTTCCATTGATGTAAAACTGAAGCTTCTCTGTCTCAGTTAATGAAGCTTTCTGGCATTTCACCAGCTGTTTCCAAGGGATGAAATTGATAGATCTTCCTATTTTCCATGGCAAGCTTGACATAGATGAGCTGAACTCACATTGTACTATTCTGGTCTTAAATAGTTTGTTGTTGAAACCAGGGAAGAATGATTGGTTTTCTGATCTAAATGCCTCTTAAGATTTAATTTTCCAATTGTATTCTTATCCCTGGTGTGTTAATCATGGAAAAGGCTAAGATAGGATACCTACCAGTGCCAATATGTGCAGCTGACTTTACCAACATACTCACACCATTGTACATGTGTTGCTATTGTTTATACAGATAAATTCCCAAAAGGAAACGCTTTTGTTCTAGAATTTTAAAAAATGCCTTTTTATTTTTTAATTTAGTGTATACCTTTTCTAAGTATTCTTTGCTTCTCTGTCCACCTCACCTGCCACACAG